AGGGTTGGGGTCGGGGGTTTGGTTGGGTTTGTGTTTGTATCTGCGGTGGGGCCGGTGGCGGAGGAGTCGCCTGGTTTAGCGGCGTTGTTTGAGCTGGCAGAGTTGATCTCAGTGATGTTGCGGTAGGAGAATAGGGGGAGGAGAGGCCCGTTTAGAGAGGGGCGGGTGAAGTAGCGGGAGAAGAATGTGGGGCGGGGAGGTGTTGGGGATGCTGATGGAGAAGGGGGGTGATCGTGCTTCTGCGCAGACATGTCTTGGTCGTTCTTCTGTGAGATCAAGGTATCTTGCGTTGTGACGCTGTGTAAACGAGGGATTGAATCCAGAGCCACGGGGCTGTTGTATGTAGATGCGGTCCAAGTATCGTCCTTGAAATTCGCGCTTGTGGATGTCGACTGTGTAGAGTCAGAAGCACCGAACCACGACATCTTCTTTGCTTTGCTGGAAAAGTATGTAGTCCAACTACGAGGAGCGGAGAAACTGGTCGGTCTCCTACGGTTGGCTGATCCAGGTAGTAGACTAGGCCATATCTTGCCAGCTCCCACGAAGACCAACAGTCCCCTGTAATGAGCATTTGCATCGACTCCCGTGCCGAGGAAGCCGAAGATGATGAACCCCGTGGCGATCTGAACCCACTTCTCGATACTGATCTTACCCAGCCCGGGCTCCCTTGTGATTCTGTTCCATCTCTCAGGATCGTGGACTCTATCCCAAGAGTAATGGTCGTGAAGTCTTCCGGCCATCTGTATGAGGAGTACGATGGTGTAGATCAGATAGAAGGAGATGACGATGAGGCTGACCAGGAACAGGCGGATGAAGCGTGAGGACGTGGTGTTTCGCGCTGCAACAAGGCGGTGGAACTCGCGTCGGTATCGGTAAAGACGCCAGATAAGTAGGGCTGTTGAATGATTAGTAGGGTGATTTGAGGGAGGAAGCAGATAAGACTTACCTGCCCAGTAGGAATCGATCACAATGCCAACGGCTGACCACATGAAACTAATGACCATGCTAGGCCATGAAGCATCGTGGACAGACCAACACCCAGCAATACCAACGATTGCATAGCGGTTGTACTGGGTGACATAGTAAATGCCCATCAGTAACAACGGCACGCCCCAACACCAAAAGACTTCCCAGATCTTCGCTTTGACTTTGCTCTTATGGTTGGTCGACACAGTAATATTGCGTGTATCCATAACGTTGGCGAGCTTGCGTAGTACCAGGGCCAACGAGGCGGTCAATCCCACATAGCTACCGACCTGGAGCCGGATCTGAATGTCGCACAGGACCGCACCGTCCCACCATTCGGTCAGGTTGTCGCGGGGCCAGATGAGTGGGTTGATGCAGTTGAAGAGGTTGTGAAGGACAATCCATAAGATGAGTGACCCGGCTGCGACGTTGGCTTGACGGAAATGCCAGATCATTGGTGCAACGCAGAGGAGGAAGGCTGGAAAGGAGAGGGTGATGAAGAGGATGGCCTGGGTGGAGACGGGTGCGTTCATCTCCTCCATGGTGATGTTGGTGCTGTATTCATACGTCCCCGCGGCATCGCCAGTCCAGTAAGCTTCGTAGGAGTGTGTGTTGGTTGGGTTGGTAGCAGATGTCAATGACATAGCAGTGGATGCCATTAATATAGCAGCAGATGTCATGGACATGGTCGCGGATGTCAAGAGGATGACGATGAGTAATCTTCTTCGATGCTGCAAAGCGGCAGACCTGAATCCAGTTCAGAGATATAGCCGTCGATCAAGTGGAATCCGACCTGTCGATTGTGCTATCTCCAGGATAGTGTCAGGTAGTGTTGATGGGTTTAGATATAGAAAAGATTGTGATTAGAAAGAAAAGCAACTGAAGAAACGAACAGGCGGCAAGCAGCCTCGAGAACCCCATCACTCCCGTCGATACCGAATATATGGAAATCCTCAATAGAACAGATGCGTGTCTCAAGCTTCAATAGGGCTCAATAGGACTTACGTTCACTTGAGTGGTGAAAACGAGTATGCCGCTAGAGTAGCATGTCCTCAGACGCTCTCGCCCAGGTCAATCACAGTCTGTTTGAAACGGGCTGACCCGTCGCAGGGACAGGGCGCTGCCTGGTACCCGTGATATTCGGTTGCGGTGGTATGGTTGTGGTAGTGCAAGTGAGACTTTTGCCCGTCCGCATTTGGGTCTGAATAGAAAAAGAGGACTTCTGAATAGAAAACCGACGAGAAAGAGACGAGACATGTCTGTGATAAGTAGCAGCGCAATCAGAGAGGGAATCATGGGGAGACGAGGTGCTAAGTCCCCGCTGCTGCGGCATGGTTGCAGGTCGGGTTGTACGTGGCGGGTTTAGCCAGATTATCCTACTCACCCGCTTCGAGCATCCAGGAACCGGTATTTACCTGCCCGGTTTGGTGGGCATCTGTTTCATTGTCGGAGTCCGAACGAGTGCGTTGGGACGATGGGGTACTCTACGGCAGATGGCTGCGTCCCAGTGTGAAGCATCGGGGAACAACAAGTGGCGAGATAGTGTATTGATCGAATGGTAGATAGTCCATGAGGCATGTGCGAGCCATTGCAGCGCTTGGTCGTTTCCTCGGTCATGGTGTAGGCTGGGTTACACAGCAGGAGAAGCCTGCACACGTGTGGCATGGTTGCCACGGTCTGAATGGCCGTGAATGCGGGATGCGCACAGGATACCTGTTGGTGTCGAGATGGTGTTCGCAGTGAATCGCTTGCAAACCATGGGAAGCTAGGCCATAGCGCATGTGTGAGGAAGGTCGGAAGGGGTCCCAGCTCTACAATTGACCGCATCGAGACATGACGTAAGACGAACGACTCGCCGAGGCGTCTTCCACTACGGCACACGACCATCGCGTTAGTACGTGTGAGCGTCACCAGAGCCTCAGCAATGCTTCCGCGGCGCCTGCACCCATCGCGATCAGGTGACTCGCATCTCTACCACATTGCGCCTTCCTGAAGCCCCGTCTAGGCATCCATTGGCAGCGACGTCGTCCACGTTGCTTCTTCAATCCCGAGGCCTCAACCGGTACTCGCCATGGACGGTGCGCCGGCCGACAGTCCCAGCATCCACCCTCAACTTCGCCAGAGGATGCTCAACCGCGCCGCCACCTTTGCTGAGGGTGCGCGACCTTCTACTCCCCCTACAGCCGCCCCTCGACGCCGCAGCTCCCTCGTCTCCGACCTCTCCGACTCGCGCTATTCCCTGCGGTCCTCCAGCGACAATCTTCTTAGAGCGGGTGGGAAGAATGACATGGGCCGACATGCATCCTCAGACGAGCCGTCGCGATGGATTGCGCTGCCTGTAGTGGCCGCCGTGGTCCCTGCCATCATTGGATTGACGGTAGAGAACGGCGCAGATGTCGCGACAGACGTGTTGATATTGGTACTGGCGGGATGGTTTCTCCATTGGAGCGTCAAGGTGCCATGGTAAGTTGTAGCAAGCATGGGTGAGAATCACAGCTGACGCGATGCAGGGACTGGTACCACGAGGCACAGCAACGACGATACCTGAACGACGACACGGATGACGCGACCTACGACGACACGATACATGAGGAGGAAGAGGATGCGCCAGAGGTTGCAGAAGAGCAAGCAGGCGAGACGCACGACTCGAAGGTCAACACCGCGGCCGATGCGCCTATCTCGCGAGCGCAGAAGGAGGCTCGTGAAGCCCTGAAGCGGTCCGAGATGCTGGCATTCCTCGGCTGCTTCCTAGGTCCCCTCCTCGGCGCCCTCCTCATGCACACCATCCGAGGCCAGCTCATGCGCGCCGAAGGCATAGTATCCGACGCGAACCTCAGCATCTTTCTCCTCATCGCCGAGATACCCCCCGTAAACCGCCTCATCAAGATGCGAACAGAGCGAATCCTCCATCTGCAGCGCATCGTCCGAGAAGCCCCAAGAGAGCCCGTCCGATCAGCCGACACTCAGCAGCTCTCACAACGAATAGCGGAATTGGAGGGACGACTCGATGGCCCCCCGCCCGCCAACAACAACGAGGTCGACGTAGAGAAACTCAGCGCCGAAGTCCGTCAAACAACCCAACTCCAACTCGACGCCCTGAACCGCGCAGTTAGGCGCTACGAAAAACGTCACATGGCGCAGTCCCTACAGATCGAAGCGCGCTTCCAAGACCTAGAAGCTAGATTGGGAGATACCCTCGCCTTGGCTGCCGCGGCTGCTAGAACCGGTCAGCGACCAGGCGTGATTGCTATGACGCTGAGTTGGATCGCCGGTACTATTAGCAACATGCTGCAGATGACTTGGGACATCGCCATGTATCCCTTCCGCACAGCAGCGGTAGCAGTTTCAGTAGCCAAATCGCTGTTTGTCCGGGATGAGCGGCAGGCGAAACGGAGGGTGAAGGGAGGGCAGGTAAATGGACATACGGGTATGTCGACGAGTCGGATGCAAGCGAAACCTGTGCGGTAGTCTACTCAGTTCTATTAATACTTTAATACCATTCTCACTCCCATCCTATCACCTTGCTATCTGTGCATAAACTGGGTTGTACAGTATGTTATCGCGATGTTCGACATGGTCGTGCTGCGAGGTCATCGCCGATACCGGACGCGATATCAGTCTCCATCGTCGCAACCGCACGACATCCGGAGTCTTCCGAAAGAGTAACCCGAAAATGCAGGTACGAACGTTACTTCGGAGATAATAAATGCCTGTACACCAACCACAGCAGAGCGACTAACATCCTTTCGAAGTTAGCATGGCCGTGTTGTATACCCCGCCCCCACTTTGATACGTGCGAGGGGAGAAACACGAGGGAGTACTGCCGTGGCCGATGGGGGATGTAACGTGGTAATCGCATGCTTACTACTACTACCTCTGTACGCCTCGTTCTGTTTGACTCATCTTCGATTTTCACCTCCTGATTCTACATTTTTTAGACGTTGGTTGTTAAGTGGACGTTTCGCAACGTTCAAGTAACCTGTCGGTAAACAAGAAACAGCAAGGACACAAAGAAAGTGTGATAACCCACAACCATGTATCCAAAGTCAGACGTCACAGTCGACGCCTCGAAGTTCGATCGCAATGGCATCGACAAACAAACCCTCGAGTTCAACGAGAAGTTGATTAAGATCTGGGCGGATGGACCGCGGTGGTACGAGGTATGTCTCCAGTTCCCATCTCGATCCCTCTTCCCAACACCCCTCCAATCCCTCCGTATCCCATCCCCGCCCAATCTTATCCCCTTCAACCCTGTGCTCACGTAAGAATCCACAGGTCGGCGCAGCAGCCTACCGCCAGATGCGCTGGGAAGGCAAAACCCCCTTACCCAAACCCGTGGTTCTACCCGAAGGTTTCAACGGCTCTCTCCCGTCTCGAGATGCCGGAAGGGAGATACCGTATAGGGTGTTTAAGCCGAGTGGAGGGGTGAGCAGGGGGGTTCATATGCATATTCATGGTGGGGGGTGGGTGTTGATGAGTGAGGCTTAGTAAGTTGGTAATTCTGTTTATCTACTGTGAAAGGAGGAGTATGAAGGGTGAATGTAGAGATGGGAAGGGGGGGTTGGAGATGGACATGAGTATTGGTATTTGGGTTGAGGCTGAAGCTAACGAGGAGAATAGCCAAGACCCCTACCTTAAATACATGGCCGACCACTTCGAAGTAACAGTCGTATCAATCGGATACCGCCTCGCACCCGAAGACCCCTGGCCTGCGGGCGCAGAAGACTGCTACGACGCTGCGGAATGGCTGGTCAAGAATGGTCCGGAGGTGTTTGGTGGGGAATTGATGTTTACGGGCGGTGAGGTATGTGTCTTTCCCTTCCCCCCTCGGTCGCCTCTATCCTCCCTTCTCCCTTCTCCTTCCTCATTCTATTACCTCCCTCCCTCCCTCTCCTATCGCACACCTACTCAACCCAAACCTCTCCAACGCCCATACTAACACCCTCCTAGTCCGCAGGCGGCCACCTCGCCTGCCTCGTCGCCTTCCACCTCCTAAAGACCCTCCCCACATTCTCCTTCCGCGGCCTCCTCCTCCACTTCGGCTGCTACGACATGTCCTCCTTCCTCCCCCACGTCCTGCACCACGAATCTCACCTCGTAATCGACTACGACGTGATGAAATCCTACATCGACGCCCTCTTACCCAACACCACGGAAGCCGAGCGCCGCGACCCGTCGATATCACCGTTTTGGCAGGATCTAAGGGGAATGAAGTTGCCGCCGGCGCTGTTTACATGTGGGAGTGAGGATCCGTTGCTGGATGATAGTGTGTTGATGGGGGCGAAGTGGGGGATGTGGGGGGCGGAGAGTGTGGTTAAGATTTATAGGGGGGCGCCGCATGGGTTTATTGGGTTTCCGCCGGGGACTATTAAGGCGGTGCAGGAGGTGTTGGATGATACTGAGGCGTTTGTTAGGGCCAAGATGGGGGTTTAGAGGGGATGGGGGTGAGGTGGGGTGTGTTGAGTTGACGTACCTGGTGGCACCCCCTAGAGAGGTCCTACACCAAGAAGAACTTATGGTAGACATGTTCAAAGGTGTTACAGTACAATAAATCAAATCTCTTAGTCTCCTTAGGACTCCATTTCCATGTATTCTGCACGAATACCTGGCTCGGATCATATATACGGCCGGTGCCAACAAAACGATAGGTCGGGATCCCGTCGATGGATGGAGAAGTCGCACGGAGTATCATCGCCGCCATGAGTTCCCCATACGGACAGTCTTTGTACACATATCCCACTGGTACGATCTGATCACCAACCTCAGGTGATACATTGCTGTAGCCTATGGAGTTTGCCCAAGTACCTTCGTCAAGGAATACGAACAGGTTCACAGTATCCTCTGAGGCTTGATCTTGACGCTTGGAAGATGTCGACGTTGACCCGTACCGCGAATCCCCTCCTCCAGATTGCCTCGCTTCCAACGAAAAGTACTCGATGAGTTTGTGCAAGATATCCTTGTTCCAAGGATTGTCAGGTTCAGACTCGCCTAAACCGGTGTCATAGCCGAGGCGAAGCAAGCTCTTTCGAATTGTCTTGTACAATAAACTTCGAAATTTCATGTGATCGCTCCCCAACATTACGGGAAAGTCGGTAACCATGTTGCAAAGCTGAAGAAGTTGTGACTCATAGAGGACTTCAGAATTGACAGATTTACTTGAAACCTTTGATCTGATGGTATAAGGGTAAGGGACTTGATATCTTCTTTGCTTATCCAGAATCCTGTCCCTGCCAGTCTCTATGCGAATTCCGCTTCCTGTGGCACTGGTCACTCGGCAGTCAAAGTGAAAGTCGTCCTCGTTAACGACAAGGGTCTTTTTCGGTACAACCCGCCAGTCTGGCACCCAAGAAGGCCAATCATCCGGTGGAGATGAGTGCTGACGCAGGAACAAAGCCTCCCACATGCCCCCAGGTGTTGCTTCCCAGCAACTAACCGCAAATGACTTGTATGTTTCAAGTACGTTCAGCGAGTAGTCCATGTTCATGGAGACCACACCCTTTTCCTGCGACGTGGAAGAGGCGACAACATCGGTGACGGACCCGGCTGGTTCAACATTGGCTGCCATACTGACCAGAGCAAACAGCCGATCTCGTGGATCTGTGCATGCATACAACGCAAAGGTCTCTACCAGGCTTAAAATGTCGCTGCCGTCAATGCTGCTTTCATTGAGACTCGACTGTGGCGATCTCATTGGCTGAGTAGCAAAGAGCGAATGGCGAATCCAGAGGCTCCCGATTTTGGCAATAGCATCCAACTTTGCCCTGTCATCAGATTCCAAAGGGGAAGCCTCCTCCTGAATGAAAGATAGCGCGGCAATAAAGCGGGGAAGGGTAATTCCTGTGTCACCACAGATCAGGAGAACTTCCACACTGAAGACGATTTCTTGTACTATCCAGAGTCTGCTGAACCAAGGAAGATTGATAAAACAGCTGACTTCTCTGCAGCCTTCCACCCATATTTCGTGTCTTATCTTTGACTTTCGGGATAGACGCTCGATTATCCGCATGCCTCTTTGCTCAAGCGTAGTGTCTCCGCCCGGATCGAGCCAAGCCATGACTCGTTGAGCACCTCGGAAGATGTCGACCATCAAAGGGATTTGTACTGCCTTTTCCGCATTGTCGCTCTGATTGATACATGCGGCATCTGCCCAGAGGAGTCGATTGCGGTCGTTGTAACGCAGATACCGCAACGCGCGGTCAAGGTTCTTCGTGACGCAGACTTGGGTACCATCGTCGACGTGTAGAGCGAATGTTAGGAGTGGTTCTCCCCATGTGTACGATATGGCTTCGTAACGTCCTTCTAAGTCCTCGAGTGTCGATGCGAGGAATGTGATTTCGAGGGGTGCGTCTTTGGACGAGGCTGGGTGCAGTGCGATCAGCCTGATGTGTTCCGGGCCTTCCAGTGGTTGATACACATGTGTGCTCATGCTGCGCTGAATAGATCCGGTCGTAAAGTGAGGAAAGATTGAACGAAAGTGATGAAATGTATGAAGGGAGATGGATGGTGGATGAGATAGCTGAGCAGGCTGCAACCCGCTCGATGATAAATGGCCTGCATGCTATGAGGCTGAGTGAGGGGAATGGCTGATCCAATCATCGACGCGACTTGCAGTACCAGCCGGCACCGATCGCAAAGACTCTCTCATCGAGGCAATGAGCATTCAGGATATAGGCGCAATCTGCCGTGTTCATGTCTGGACAAAGTAGATGTTGCGAGTACCGATTTTGGCGTTGGCTCAACGGAGTGATCACGAGGTTCTTCCCAGTAGAGTTAGCGACGTTTTTGTCATTCGCTGACAGGGCATTTCGTGTGCGCCGATGCAATGCAGCCTTCGCATATTTTGTGCCATCTCACTGCTGTCGGTGTTGATGGTGTTGTCGGGATGAAAGCACCCTGAACGGAGGCGGATCCCTGACTAGCTCAAACGTCATACACCGCACGGCCTATCTCGCAAGCCCAAGGCGACGCGACAAGAAAACTTCGTGTCGCGCAAGCTCACCATGGCCCAATAGCCCACTACTCGCAACACCAAAAGTCGCCATGGCAGACAACGAGAGCCCCGAGAGGCGGCGGCCGCGCCGGATGAGCGCCATGTACCGCCGTGGCTCCCACTTGAGCGAGTACGTGTGACGGCCAGCTCAGCGTCGGGCGCGACTAATTGACTTTCTCAGGGCAAGCTTCATGGAAGATGTCGAGATGGCGCAAGATGAGGTATTCGAACTCGGCCCCATGCCTCCTTCCCGTCCTGCCTACAATCCCCGTGGAAGGAAGCCTGGCCAGCAGCTGACGCCCACAATCCAGGTCTTCTCCGGCCCCATGAGCGAGAGCGTCCCCACGAGCGTCTCTGGATTCCGCCACCGCCGGTCACGCGCCGATTCGAGTGCGAGTTTGACGAGTTTCGCGTTCTACGATGAAGAGCAGGATTCACAGGGTGAGGACGAGGATAGCGCGATTTTGGAGGACGGAGAGAGCACGTACAACAATGGCTATACCGTGTCGGAGTTGGAGGACCTCGAGGCGGGGATATCGTCGGAAACTTCGCATTCACCGTCGCCATCGCGGCGGAAGTCAAGTGGCAGCAGGAAGTCATCCGAGCGGCCGCTGTTGCGCAGGCACTCCTCCACAGGCAGCGCAGGCTCAGGTATCGACTGGAGAGGGCGCAGATCCAACCAGAAGATCTACATTATGACCGAGGACCTCACCATTGTTATCGCCGGCTTCAGAACATCGCCCATTGGCTACGCGCTCTATGCGCTACTCTGCTTCGCGACGCTGGGTCTCGGCTGGCTCTTGTTCAGATGGTTACCACGATGGAGGGTCGCGATAACGGGAAAGAGCTCACCACTGAAGGAGTGCGACTGGATAGTCACGGAGAATCAGTGGGGCGAGTTTGCGGTGCAGCATGTCAGCAAGCAAACCTACGGCCGGTCGCTTTCGACTGTGTTTGGCGACCCTGAAAAGGGACGGCCACGGGAATGGGATGAGGAAGACGATCCGCTCATCGGCGAGCTTAGGTGCCTCGATTACCGCTACATTCGCTTCGTATACCACCCTATCAAGGACAAGTTCGTCCTCGCAAACACTTGGACAGATCCCACCTGGACCGAAGTCTCTGCCCTCCGCGAGGGTCTTGACAACGATGAGCGCGACTACCGCGAGCTTGTCTTTGGAAAGAACGTCATCGATATCGCCGAGAAGACTATCGGTCAGCTCCTAGTCGATGAGGTCTTCCATCCTTTCTACGTCTTCCAGATCGCCAGTCTGATCCTTTGGTCCATGGACGAGTACTACTACTATGCCTGCGCCATCTTCATCATCTCGGCCGTCAGTATCGTCACCACACTCATCGAGACAAAGGCGTCCATGAAGAGACTGCGCGAAGTGTCAAAGTTCGAATGCGAAGTTCGTGTACTACGCAGCGGCTTCTGGACCCACATCGACTCTGCAGAGCTTGTACCGGGAGATGTCTACGAAGTCACCGACCCTTCTCTTGCGCTGTTCCCCTGCGACAGTCTGTTGCTGTCTGGAGACTGCATCGTCAATGAGAGTATGCTGACTGGCGAGTCGATCCCTGTTTCCAAGGTCCCCATGTCGAACCACGCTCTAGACCTCCTAGACCTCAGCGCATCGGCTGTCCATCCTGAAGTTGCACGACATATGCTGTTTAGTGGAACCAAGATCATTCGCGCTCGCAGACCACATGAAGATCACGTCGATGACGAAGCTGCTGCATTGGCCATGGTCGTCCGCACTGGTTTCAACACCACCAAGGGCGCGTTGGTCCGCTCGATGCTCTTCCCCAAGCCCTCAGGGTTCAAGTTCTACCGCGACTCTTTCCGGTACATCTCCGTCATGGCATTCATTGCTATGATCGGCTTCGTCGCATCTTTCATCAACTTTGTGCATCTAGGCCTTGCATGGCATCTGATTGTCGTACGAGCTCTCGATCTGATCACCATTGTCGTTCCTCCTGCTCTCCCAGCCACACTCACCATCGGTACCAGCTTCGCCCTATCGCGCTTAAAGCAGAAGCAGATCTTCTGCATCAGTCCACAGCGAGTCAACGTTGGTGGCAAGCTAGATGTCGTCTGCTTTGACAAGACTGGAACTCTTACCGAGGAAGGTCTCGATGTTCTTGGAGTCCGCGTAGTGGAGCGACCAAGGAACAGGTTCAGTGAGCTGCTTCCAGATGCCTACGACATCCTCCCTGCGTCGCAGCACGACCGCGACCCCACTGTCGAATACCTCGCACACAAGACGATTCTATACACCATGGCAACCTGTCACTCACTGCGCAAGATCGATGATGAGCTAGTAGGTGACCCGCTCGATGTCAAGATGTTCGACTTTACCGGCTGGAGCTACGAAGAAGGAGAGCAGAAAGCCGGCAACGCTGGTGACGACGACCCCGAGCAGAAGCTTTCGCCATCTGTCGCACGGCCACCACCAGGCCGAGAATATGACGTCGACGATGTTGAAGATGAAGCCAACAGGAAGCAAGTCGAACTTGGCGTCCTCAAGGCTTTCGAATTCGTCTCACAGCTACGAAGGGCTAGTGTCATTGTTCGCCAATTTGGTTCAAAGAGCGGACAAGTATACGTCAAGGGTGCACCCGAAGTCATGAAAGAGATCTGCAGGCCTGACAGCTTCCCTACCGACTACGAGGAGCTTCTAGCCTTCTACACTCATCGTGGATTCCGTGTCATCGCTTGCGCTACGAAGTCAATCCCCAAGCTCAACTGGCTCAAGACCCAAAAAATGAAGCGTGAGGAAGCAGAGAGCGATCTGGACTTTGTTGGTTTCATCATCTTCGAGAACAAGCTCAAGGACAGCACCGCCCCTGTTATCGAAGAGCTCGAACGCGCAAACATCCGCAAGGTCATGTGCACTGGTGACAACATTCTCACTGCCATCAGTGTGGCTCGCGAGTGTGGTCTCATCAACAAGACTGCCCATTGCTTCGTACCTCATTTCGAAGAGGGTGACTCTCGGACGGCATTGTCGAAGCTCAGCTGGGAAAGTGTAGACGACCCCGTCTTCAAGCTTGACGATAACACCCTCAAGCCCCTGCCACCGCCACCCGAAGCCGACGTATCCCTCCCCTACGACATCTCCAACCTCCGCAACTACAGCTTGGCTGTCAGCGGCGACGTATTCCGCTGGATCGTCGACTTCGCCTCCGAATCCGTCCTTCGCGAGATGCTCGTCTGCGGTCAAGTCTTCGCCCGCATGTCCCCCGACGAAAAGCACGAACTCGTCGAAAAGCTTCAATCCATCGACTACTGCGTCGGCTTCTGCGGTGACGGCGCCAATGACTGCGGTGCCCTCAAAGCGGCCGACGTGGGTATCTCCCTCTCTGAAGCTGAGGCCTCGGTCGCCGCGCCCTTCACATCCCGCCAATTCGATATCTCCTGCGTCCCGCAAGTCATCAAAGAAGGTCGCGCCGCCCTCGTCACGAGCTTCAGCTGTTTCAAATACATGTCGCTCTACAGCGCCATCCAATTCTGCTCTGTGTCCTTCCTCTACGCCAGCGCGAGCAACCTCGGCGACTTCCAATTCCTCTTCATCGACCTGCTGCTCATCCTGCCCATCGCCATCTTCATGGGCTGGTCCGGCGCCTACCCGATCCTCAGCCGCAAACGTCCGACTGCCAACCTCGTATCACGAAAGGTGCTCACGCCGCTACTGGGCCAAATGGTCCTATGTATCCTCGTCCAATTCATCGCATTTCACTACGTCCAGAAACAGGAATGGTACATGCCCCCCGTCCTGGACCCCAACCACAGCAACAGCTTAAACAGCCAAAACACAGCCTTGTTCCTAACAAGTTGCTTCCAATACATCTTCTCCGCCGTCGTCCTCAGCGTCGGGAAACCTTACCGCGAACCCATGGGTCGTAATCTGCCCTTCATCACCACCATCTTCGTTACCCTCGCTATCACACTGTATATGCTGTTTGACCCCGCCGCGTGGGTTATGTCGGCTATGGAGTTGACGTTTTTGGATACCCCGTTCAAGGTTTTCATCTTAGCGCTGGGGCTGGGCAACTTTGCGGCGGCGTATGTGGGGGAGAATATGCTGTTCCCGGGGCTGAGCAAGTGGATTGGGGTTGCGAAGGTTAGGTTTGGGGGGAGCGGTATGCAGAAGAAGAGGAAGGAGTATAAGGTTATTGCTGAGGGGATGAGGATGTGAGGCAGTTTGGGTTCTGTGGGGGTGGGGGTGGAGATGAGGTGGGAGGGTTTGGGGTAGGGGTGTATATATATCAGGACTGGGGTTTGGATAGACAAGAAGAACATTATGGGATTTTGACGAGGGGTGTTTTTGACTTGACCGAAATGTAGGTATTCTTACCCTTCGTGCGTCAGTGCTCTTCTTGCGCCGATGCTTCGCTGCTGGAAATCACGGTGAAGGCGCGCTTGTTTGTTGATGATCCGTATCACAGCGCAACGCAGTGCGGTATCTCACTCTCACTTTTCCTCGTCACCTCTGGTTGCCTAGTGGCTTATCTTGATAACGTTCTCTCATAACCTTCTGTCTCTTTCTCTACATCACACTCCACTCGTCTCTCGTCGGATACTTCGTACAGCACTCGGTACGCATCACTTGCAGTCGCCTTCGACGATCAATCCGTCTCCAACAACCACCATGCCACCCAAGAAGAAGACCGGCGATGACGGTGCCGAAGCTGGCGGCGATGGCGTAAGTACTCGCCAAAACCAATCACATACACACTTCCTAACAACTCCCCCAGAAATTCCGCTGGACCGCCGAAAACGAGCGCACCGTAAGTCCCATCCCACATCCTCCAATACCTCATCTCACCTTACAACCGTCTAACTCACACCCCACAGCTCCTCCTCCTAGCCATGAACCGCGGCACCCTCACCAAAGATGACTACCACAAGATGGTCGGCGCCTTCCCTGGTCCCGGTACGTTTCCACTGCCCACTCCCCAATCCGTATTGTCTGCGATACTAACGTACGACTCATTAGCCGGCACCAACTGGGACGCGATCCGCCAGCGATTCATCAAGATGCGCAAGGAGCAGCGCGCGCTTTGTGAGCAGCTAGATTGGCCTCTCCCTTGTGACACAGAGAAGACTCCTACAAAGACTCCAGGCAAGTCGCCGAAGAAGAGGGCTGCGGGTGGTGCCGAGAAGGGTGAGGACGGTACTGGTGGTGATGCTGAGGGAGTTGGCGAGACGCAGTCGCCTACCAAGAAGCCGCGTGCCCGCAAGCCGAAGAAGGAGGTTGTTAAGAAGGAGGTCGAGGAGGATGACGGACTTGGTGGTGAGCTGTATCGTGAGCTAAATGGGGATGATGGCGTTGTCAAGGAGGAGCTGCTTGAAGAGGGTGTCTAGGCATTCTGGCCGCTTTGGAGGACGGGCGTGGGAGCGTGTGATGGATTCTACTGGTTCTTCATGATGAGAGATGTCTGAGTAAGACACTGCCTCGAACATTAGCAAACTGGCAGTATGAATGCACTCTGCAGCATCTGCGGAATTGATCCACCAAGCAAATCCCATTTCCAAATTCGTCTCTTCTGTGATTTTCCATTTTCGCTTTGTGCGTGCAAAGGTGAAGGTGAGCTCGAAATCCCTTGTCTTGCACGGATCTGAATTCGGATCTCACTCTCACTATCCTCAATCCCACAATCGCCGTTCCCTACTTAAACACGTCCCTCATATCTTCTCCCCTCTCTCCGCTTCTTCCTCCACCACAACACTCCCACTTTGTTACACCATCTACCAATCCACACAAACCCAGCACTCCCATCTCAGTTCTCCATACCAAAAGTTCACTTCACCAAGGATGCCTCCCAAGAAGAAGGTCGCAGCAGCTGAGGGCGGCGATGCTGAAGGCGGTGTATGTTACTCTTCCCCCAATCCTTTTGCAGCAGCTTGACTAACGTCCACAACCAGGCATTCCGCTGGACACTGGAGAACGCAAACAAGGTAAGCCAAGTCCTTCCTACCCATACTGAATCTGGAACTAACAAAACCGAACCCAGCTCCTCATCTTGACCCAAGGCCGCTATCTCACGGGCGAAGATTACGAGCGTCTTGTTAGCGTCTTCCCAGGTATGTGTTCATTTCACTCTCTTCCGTTCTTTGTCCTTCACACCTATACCTACACCACGCCTACACACCAGCAACCCAACCTCCTTCCAGCAACCCACTAACCTCTCCCACAGGAACAAACCTCAACGGCGTCAAAATCAAAGTCTCCCGTTTCCGCGTCGAGCAACGCAAGCTCTTCGATGAGTACGGCTGGACGCTTCCGGACGGCGGTGCAGTGCTGAAGAAGACGCCTACGCCGCGCAAGAACAAGAAGAGGGATGCTGAAGCTGAGGGTGAGAACGATGAGGAGGATGAGACTCCGAAGGCGAAGAAGCCGCGTGGCAGGAAGGCTAAGGCAAAGAAAGAGGAGAGTGTTGAGGCTGAAGCCGAAGAAGAGGATAGTGGGGAGGTCAAAGAGGAGGGTCTTGATGAGGATATGTAAATCTTCTGAGATACTGAGACGTCAAACTTGGGGGCGAGAATAGTCGGGTTTCTACGTATACGACTTCATTAGGATCGATATCTAGAGCATGACTGCCTTGATTAGTGCGCATTCTGGCCCCGGGGCGGCTATGAATCATTCAGCACAATCTGCGGGATTTATCTTACCCTGAAAATCCAAGATGCCAAGTGCGAATCTCCCGTGTCTCTTCCCTATGAGTAAAATGCAAAGGTGAAGGTGACTCTTCCACCTCGAAAAGGAAATCAAGTAGAATCTCACTCTCACCTCTCTCTCCTCTTTCGCACTTCTAATCTCCCGCTCGAGACACGTATAAATTCCTCGTTCCCACTCGTCTCTCAGCCTGATTCCTTTCCCACTCTTCCTCTCTCTTACCCCATCCACCTCACCACACAAACCCAGCAAGCCGTGGACCCTTTCCCAACTCAAACTCCGCAGCAACAAACACTAGAACGACCATGCCACCCAAGAAGGCAGCTACCAACGGCGATGCTGGCGAGGCCGGCGGTGTAAGTGGCATCTTTCCCAGCTCCCATTTACGCAGTAAACTGACAACCATTCTAGCCGTTCAAATGGGAAAGTCCAAACGATACAAAGGTATTACATCACGCATACTCCACCTCATAGCAACACGGCTAATGATTTCGATAGCTCCTCCTCTTGACTCAAGGCCGCTACGTTAAGCCAGACGAGTATCCTCAGTTGTCTTCTGCGTTCCCTGGTATGTGGCCCCTCCCCTCTCATCTACACTCCATCCCCTCGTCCACCCCCTCGTCCATACTCAACGCCCGATCTCCAACACCCCCACTAACCCCCCACCCAGGTACCTCAATCGGCAGCATCCGCAACCGCATCTCCGCGCTCCGCGTCAAACAACGCGACCTCTACCTGGATCTGAGCTGGGATCTGCCGGAGGGCGGGGCGGGTCATAGTGCGAAGAAGACTGCGACGCCGCGGAAGACAGCCAGTGGCAAGAAACGTGGTGTTGATGCGGTTGAGGGCGATGGCTTAGATGAGGACGAGGTGGCTACGCCGAGCAAGAAACCGCGTGCCAAGAAGGCTAAGACCAAGAGCAAGAAGGAGGAGAGTGTTGAGGACGCGGTTGAAGAAGATGGTAGTGAGGAAGGTGGTGGTGGAAAGAGTGTTGGTGTCAAAGAGGAGGTTCTTGATGAGGAGCTTGATGAGATGGTTTAGCCTCTCTCGCCGCCTCGCTATCTCGCCGCCTCCTTTCTTTCCTCCTTTTCCTGGGGAATCACTGATTCTGCCTCCGTCGTGTATGCAAGTTCGCATGCTGCATCAGAAGTCACAAGTTTAGCGGAATCTACACAGTCTGACGAGGGTACTGGGGCTTTGATATGCAAGGGATACTGCCTCTATGGACCTTATCGTTGGTGGCGGAGATGCGCTGAGCACTTGACTTGAGTGCCCTATCTTGGAGCGATAAAAATACACATCGATGATATCGTACTCTTGCATCCGTTTGTGCTTGTGCTGTTGATGTGCTTGAAGAGTGAGGTGTGTTTGCTAGGATGGACGAGGGAAAAAATGGATGCAAGTATATGGATGTAGGTATGACTTGAGAGATGTTATACTGCAGATTAGACACGTGGGAACTATCTCTGCAAGTTATCGAACTATCCATATACGCAGAGATGAACATCATAAGAGAGTGATGAAAGACGTGCTTCATTTATTCCACACATGACTAGAATTGTAGGTATCAAACGCCATACGCCATGTGCTTATCCCAGTACCCGTTATCAGCGCCACATAATGCTGCTCCGAGGAACATCCGATTTGCAAATCCTATCAGCACCATCCGCTCGGGTATCTACCTCATTTGTCGCCCTTCTTCTTGCGCAGAGACTGCCCAGACCCTTCGAAGTGCTTCGAATCTTTCTGCTCGCCTTCCTCCTCCTTTCCCTTGAGCGGCTTAATCTCGTACCCGAAGAACAGTTTGTTGGGTGGTAGTCTGAGCGGCTGCGGGCCGTTGGTGCGTCGTACTGTCGGAGGTGGGTTTGATGACTGTCCTGCAATGGGGGTGGAGGCTTGCGGGGTGGGCGCCTTGCTGCCCTTCTTGAGCAGCTTGTGGCCGGTGGTGAGGAAATTTGAGGAAGTGGCCTTGGCTCCGTTGGCTGCGGTCGTCGATGATGGTGCGATGGCGGCGTAGTTGATAGCATCTGCCATGGTGCCTTGAGCGTGTAGTGTGCCGCCTTTGCCGCTCATGACACCCTTTCCGCTACGCGGTGTGCTTGTGCCGCTGTTCCTTTGGGGCTCCTGGTAGCCTACTGGGGGAGCGAAATCGACTGACAGATCGGTCTCGATGGTGCAGACGGCCTTGCTTGGATGTTCTGGCTTGGCCTCCAACACTGCTATGCTATACACGTTGTCGTTGTATGAAAATGTGAATATGTCGCCGACTGTAAGGCAGGAGAAGTTGCGGAAGGCGTTTTCGAGTACGGCCTTGGGATCGGAGATTTCGAGGAAGGAGGAGTCTTGTGGTTGCAGCTTGATAAAGGTGCCGAGAGGGATGTCGGTCGACTTGACTTGTAGCAAGTCACCGGGCTCCAGCTGGAGTGTCTCCATAAGCCAGTATGGCAGGTAGATCTTGCCCTCTTCTGCGATGAATTCTAGCACACCTGCGTGTGTCTTCTTTCCGTCCGCCTTGCCGTTTATGAGCTCGAAGAGCATGGGGTATGTGATGTGCAGCCTGGTGAGCTTGTCGAGAGCACTCGGAGGGAGGAACACTTTGCCGCCGTGGTTTGCCTCGTGGCGCTCCGGGCCAGGCAACATGACGATGGGATAGCATCGAAAGTACTCATCGAAGCGTCGAGGAGCGCCGCCGCGACGTGCGGCAAGGGACTGGTACATGGCCATGGGATCGTCTTGGTCGTAAAAGTTGGGGTTGAACTGTACTGGTGAGTGTAGGACAAAGAAGGTGGTGGGGTCGCTCTTACCATTTTAAGTGTGCGGAATCAGTGAGTCAGAGGGTCTTCCGGTGGGGAGTGAATGGGTCAGGAATTGTTAGGTAACGGCGGGCAGGTGGTGGAAGTGATATGTCTTCGATGAGAGAGGCCTGAGATGACGACCGTGGTTGGTAGTAGTACAGCGGGCCGTTTGAGCCAGTAGGAAGTCCGCTAAACTCCGATTAGCGCGTCATGGCCCAAGCTTCAAATTAATCGCGTCCGACGTCACTGCCTGGCCGCCTGGGCTCATCCTCCGCCGAACCTCGACGCCAGAATATCGCGCAACGTTGCTAATCATCATGGCCAGCTCTAGTGGAACATACAACCCTGCGCGACCGAAGCGCGCTGGCGAGCAATTCACGCGAACCCACCACATGGACGCCGACGAACATTCCACCAAGAAACCCCGCTTCGACCCGCGCAACCCCTCCACACTGGCTCCGGATGCAGACGACGAAGAAGATCCTGCTCTCGAAGCTGACGTGATAGGAAAAAGCGCAGGCATCAAGCGGAACGCAGTCAACATCGACGGCTACGACTCAGACAGCTCCACGGAGAACTTCGAGGCGCGCGCAGAAGCCCGACCCAACAAGGACGAGCCGCCCAAAACCGAGGACGATGACGACGACATGTTCGCCGAGGATGACAAGGACGATGAGATGGACGAGGGGTTGCGGAGAGATCAGACCAAGAAGAAGAAGTTGCGCTTCCTGGACGACGCCGAGATCGAGGGCCAGGAAGCGAACAGCAAGTCTGGGGGTCACGTAGCCGTGGACTTCACCAAGGGCCCGAAGAGCAGAACAGAAGAAGTGGAGAGCAGTAGCGATGAGGGAGATGACGAGTTGCGCGACCACGTTCCCTCCGACGTCGACGAGGAGATAGGTGCAGGTGGAAAGAAGAAGCATGCGCCTAAGCTGGATGCTTTCAACATGAGCGCCGAGCAGGAAGAAGGTCGCTTTGACGAAGCCGGAAACTTCGTGCGCAAGGCCTTTGACCCCGAAGCTGCGCAGGACTCGTGGTTGGATGGCATATCGAAAAAGGACATCAAAAAGGCAAAGGAGGCGCAAGACAAGCTGGATGCCGAGCGAAAGGCACGAGAACGAGCCGAAGACTCCATCGTGACCAGCGACGTTCTATCGACCCTCATCACGCACCTGGACGTTGGCGAGACACCTATGGAGGCTCTTGTACGATACGGCAAGGCAGCACCGAAGAAGCCAGCCAAGAACTGGGCCAAGAAGAAGAAGAACCAGGATATGGAGGTCGATTCAGATCCGTCGCAGGATGCTGCAGCAATCAAGGCAAAGGAGGTGATTGATTCTATAACCGAATGCGCCAGTCGGCTGTCTGATCGCGGCGTCGAGGATATTTACGAACTCCCCCGCGAATCCATCATGCGGCAGTACAAGCGTGAGACTGGAGAGGACTGGAAGAACCCGAACCCGGAGACAGTGCAGTGGGAATTCCACTGGCTCAACGCACCAGAAGGTGAGATTAATGGGCCATACGACCAGGCGACCATGCAAGCGTGGGAAGCAAGTGGGCAGTTTGCAGCGGGAGCCGAATTCCGACGCGTCGGCGAGACTGAATTCTCGCGGCTGCTCGACTTTGAGGACTGAAGGGGTATGCAATTGATGTAAGCACAGCCACGATGTCTGTCGCGTAAGCAGTCCACAGAAAAGGGATGATGGCGAGACGTCGCGCCCGAGAGTGGTGTTCGGCCCAGTGGCCGGATTCACATGATCAGCTATGCATGCAGGCTAAGCGATCCTACAAACCACATCTGCTGTGCTCAGCCAGTCGGAAACTTGATAAAAGCGGGAAGCCGTCCCTGATCGTCTTCCATGGCCGAGTATATGCCTAGCTTTCAGATGGTCTGTCAAATGAGATGAGTGAGTGTGCTGTGCGGCGTGGACTGCGCAGCGTGGATGAAGATTATACAGAGTTATGTGTAGACCACAATAGAATATGAACAAGCAGTGTCAAGCGATGAGCGTGAATATGCAGCCTTATTCCAGTTGCACATCTGGGGTGCAGCACGATGAACCGTACCAGGGGAGATTACCGGTGGCAGGGTGCAGCTGACGACGTCGCGTGTGCTCATCATGCACCCCGAGCGTCTCGGAGGATTCTGGCCAAAGGAGCAGGTCCCTCGAGTTCACGACGGGGCAGATTTGGCCTGTCTCGACGCCGTTGACAGCAGACATTTCTGGCAGGCGTTGATGGAAGGGAAAAGCAGAGTTGGTGTTGTTCCACGTTATTGGCAGGGAGCTAACGCTACGGCCCGCCACCTGGCGACTTCCAGAACGCCGGGCCATCCCTCTGTCGCCCTTTTGTGAGGCTGGCCCGTCCAGGGAGGGCGGTGATGTGGCGCGTGGGCAGACATGGTGGGCATGAGTAATGGGAGGTGTTGGGCTCTGGCCAGGGCATCTGTGCGGACGAGGGTATTTTAAGAGAGATGTCATGGTAGAGGGCGGCGAAGAGGTAGCGGCCTCAGACGGCGGGAGGAACAAGCCGTATACACAACTTAATACCAAACACGACCTAGGCAGAGTGCAGCGGGAGATGGTTTACGATGGGCGTCAGCCAATCAAGATGGACAAGTCGCTGACTCCTGACCTGGCCAGCCGTTCGCTGCGCGCGAGACTATTGAAACAGCTGCCCTCTGTCGTCGCGGGCACGTGTGCAGCCGTCTCCCCGCGCCGTTAGTGGGTGTCAGGACAACTTTTGCTTCCAAGCGGCGGGCATCGTCGTCGCATCCAGCCAGCTACGCATCCACCCGGTCGCGTGTTAGCGATATTGAAGCCCTCTGACGTCTGCTAGCCTGTTGTTCGCGTCCCACCGAAAAGTGCGGCTCGAAAGGGGACGACTGCGCTGGGTCCGCCAGGCATCCCTGATTATTACCATCGCCAGCCAACCTCGACCACGCAAGCTCGAGCTCACGCCGACCCCTTTTCTCCTCCGATCCGACCTGACCTGTTTGCGACGGCCGCCTTCCGCTCATTTCACGACATTACGAGCTTGGACCACGTGCTACTCTTACCTCCGCTGTTAATTTTCTTGCTCTGCACCCAAACACCGCCCCGGCCCTCCCTCGCCGCACACATATAATGTACTCGTCGGCGTACGACCAGTCGACGTCGCGCTCGCCCATTGCCCAACGGAACCAGCCCCACTCTGGCACCCTGCACCGCATGCCCTCTCGCCAGTTCGACGCCTACCAGCAGGTCCAGCAGCCCAACGCCATGTACGCGCAAGACGACCACCAGCAGCGGTACGATCAGCCGCGCAACTACGAGCGCCTCAATCAGACCATGCACGCCGGCGCCTACGGCTACGACATGGGCGCGCCCCAGGGCTGGAACACCAACGCCTTCTCCCAGAACCAGGGCCTGGGCTCGCTCGGGGGCGCCCAGCAGGCCCGCATCAAGTCGCAGCAGCGCGGCGGAGGGCGGAGCGCACTGCCATCGGTAAGGCCATTTGATACTCGATAGATGAATGGAGTCAATACTGACTTTATAGGGATGGATGGACCAGCAGCCCCAAGGCCTGCCTAGCTTTGCCCTGGGCAACAACAACCTCGGCGCCATGCAGAACACGAGCTACGGCCACGACGTCGACGAAGAGCTCATCCCCACCGCCATCGTCATCAAGAACATCCCCTTTGCCGTCAAGAAGGAGCAGCTCGTCTCCCTCATGACGGAACTGCGCCTACCCCTGCCCTATGCCTTCAACTACCACTTCGACAACGGCGTCTTCAGGGGTCTGGCCTTTGCCAACTTCACCACTGCCGAGGAGACGGCCGCCGTCATCGAGTCGATGAACCACTTTGAGCTCAACGGCCGGAAGCTGCGTGTCGAGTACAAGAAGATGCTGCCATTGGCCGAGCGGGAGCGTATTGAGCGGGAGAAGCGTGAACGTCGTGGACAGCTCGAGGAGCAGCACCGGCCCCTCGGCGGCGGTCTGCAATCACAGGCTTCGTTTGGCTCCCTTGCCTCGCACATGCCCGCTACATCGCCATCGCCAGTTTCCGCCATGCGAGCTGGATCGGCATCAAAGACTGTTGGTATGTTTGCGGACGGGACATATGACGGGAACATTGCTAACGACTACTTAGATGTCGACCTCAATGACCCCCAAGTGCTCCAATTCTACACGCAGTTGCTTTTGTTCAAGGAGACCAAGGAGCGCGACAGCATGACGTTCCCCCCGAATCTGGCGCCTCTCCAACGCCGCACCGTCCACACTCTAGCCCACCAGCTAGGCCTCGCGCATGTGTCCAAGGGCACCGGCGAACAGCGACAGGTGCACATTTTCAAGGTCCACGACAACCAGGGGCTCAGCCCCCCGATGCCGCAGATGCCCAGCAACCACATGGAGCAGCCTCGCCGCAACCTCAACCGCGCAGCAACCACCGACTTCAGCGATGTGCGCGCCGAGGGTGGATTCTACAACGCCTTCAACAGGCAGCCATCAGGTCTTCTCGGATTCCCCGACTCGCCCGGCGGCCTGAACGCAGTGCCCAACCTCCGCGGCGCCAAGTCCTACGCCGACCTCCGCTCTTACACGCCTTCGCCCGCGCCCTCGACCGCCAGCCACCCCATCGGCCGCCCAGGCGGCATCTCGCTCGAAGGACTCGGCTACAGTGGTAGTTCCACCAACCCCAACGGCACCCCCACGACGGGCTCCATGTCGCAACGCGACGACAGCCTGCTCGAGCGCGAAATGAACCGAATGCAACTCAGCTCCGGCTACCCGCAAAACAGCAGCCCGCGTGCTCTGCGCCAAATGACGTCCTGGGACGCGCCTGGCCCCATTGGCGGCCACCGCTCCTTCAGCACAAACTACGACGACCGTCCGTCGCGCCAACCCCGTGGACCCCTCCCTGAACGCGGCCAGGGCTTCGGCCGCCCCCGCCAAAACGGCCATCAGAACCGCAACAGCGATGAGCTGTCGAGTCAATCCAACGTCGAAATCCTCGTAGGCCAATAGCTTAATCACGCAACGACGAAAATGAATGTCGACGCACGTATCCTCACTCCTTCTATCACATCAACGAAACGTGCGATGGCGCCACCCCATGAACGACACGAACGTCCTTTAACGGCCTTTACCGCCCTCGGCCCTCGCTACTTTACCACGCCAAACACACACCCTGGATTGAACCTTTACGATGCATACGAAGAATGATGCTACGAAACGGTAGAAAGATAAGACATTAGTATAACACCAAGAAGATCCAGAATTTTCCCCCCATGCGGGCTCGCTGCCCCGAAATATTTCCCACTCTCCCACATCCATTCCTTCAGTTCCCAGACTTGGCATTTCGGGGGGTTGCAAAGCAAAAAAGCATATTTATCAATCATGAACATATGGGATTTCATGTCGTTGTAGTTTGCTGTTGTCGTCCTTTTTTTGTATCTCACACATCTATCCTTTCTGCCCTGGGCTGGAGATTGATGATCTCAAGGCAGATAGTTGCGCTTGAGTGTGTCGCCTTTTTCTTGTCTGTCGTTTCCCCTCCTCCTCTCCGTTTTTCGATTCGCGATTCTTTATTATTATAGTCTTTTGGATAGTGCTGGTGCTCCCAGGTGGTGCGACAGGATTGTAATGGAAGGTGTGCAATTTTTGATCTGATCTTTCGTGTTTTCTGCTTCTGTGGCTCCATCCTTCGTGTATCAACTGTGTTCTGTACCCGAGATTTCGGCAATATGCATTGACTTTGATCCGACTACATGGTTACTAACCAAGGTTCCGGTGCTGCCGATAACAATTGTCCAGGCCGTTGCTCCAAATACGTCTTTGATTTCATCCTGCGACTATTCTCGAAGTGTGTTGGAGTATTACTCATCGCTGATATAAGCTAGTGACTGGGTGGGTAGTGCAGGAGGTGAATGTATCTGCTTTTTCTGCTCGTTACGTCGCATACCTAGGTAGCATGCTCGTGCGTGTTGCGACAAAATAGCAGGCGGAAGAGTAATTTGCCATGCTGCTGTCCCCGCTGGTTGCTACTTGTCACGTTCTAGACTCGGTGTCTGGAGTCGGGGTGCCTGTTGAAGTATTACAAATTGGTGTAAGGACTTTGTCCCGACTGCATGGAATTCTCAAAGCCAGAGTATCGCTCATGTCCGATACTCTACTCTGTGTATCATGTTGCTCGGGCCACTCGCTTCCGCTCTCCGGCCAATCCAAACTCACACATCTCACTTCTCCGGAGATGCCTTCCATCCACAGCACTACCGCGTGGCACATGACTTTATACCCTGGCTGTTGAGTCGATCTGACACCACGTTACTTATCTTGCAACGTACGAGTCAACAAACATTATACCAAATCAGGTGATATCTAGAACGTTCGATGGGGAGTCCCTGGTATGAAGGAGTGCCATGCCGGGATGGATCATGATGGGACGCACTGTTGATCGGAGGATTATAGGAGATCTGTCGTAAAGCAGGGGAGGTCTAGGCACGGATGGGTGGGGGAGGGGATGAAGGTCTCTTGTTGGACGTCGTAAGCTTGGGCGGGTGGGGGCGGCAGAGGGGGGTAATGGCCATCTCATACAGGTGTGAGCTGCGATGGTCAACTGCTTGCACTGCCATTGCTCCCGACAAGATGCACTGTCGATCGGGTTATGTATGAGGCATCTACTCTCAAGATTACTAGGTAGGAATCCGAGGCATGGTTGAATACTGTAGAGCAACTGCACGGAAGCCAGCACCATTCAGCGTTTGAGCCCCTGGTATGATAGACCACTGGTGGCAGGATGGATCTCGATGAGTGGCGCTGTTGATCGGGAAATAATATGGGAAATCTGTAGTAAAGCATGGGAATTCAAGGCGAAATGCCATCGTTCCACCTCAAAAGGGCCGAATGCAAATCATGCCGGCTGTCATGGGTCGACGTGGCTGGGGGCGGGATGACAGAGTTTTGACGCCCTTATGTCGTTGCAAGTCTGGTGTTGAGAGACGCAAATGAATATGAATAGGATGCTGTAAGTCGCGTCGAAAAGTGGACGTTAGCATTACTACTACTGACAGGACCCAGACGATGTTGCGAGTCATGCTAGCGCGAGGCTAAGCGAATGACGCTGGCGGTGCGGTGAAGTCTACTGATCTCATCGTGAGCGTTCGTACGCGACAGTGCCGACGCTGCCTTGCACGCCATCCAACCGCCCGCCTCCAGGCTTTCGCCGCATCTGAACACGTTGCGCATACCCTTCGACAGCGCCATCGCCTGCCTGCCCACCCATTGGTCGCCGGTACCCCGGATTTCTCCACCAAAACTTAAACGACCCGACTCATCTTGCTCCGCCGAATGTCTGCCTCGCGGCGCCCTTCCTGATCACGACGCCGCTGCCTTCCAGAACCGCCTTCCAGGCGTTTGTATTTGCGCCCTTTGCTGGAACACCCCCCGATTCTTTGTGCGAGTCAACGAACTGTTTCGAACAATCACCCGGTGGTGTAGTAAAACTGCGACAACAAGACAACAATCTGGACTGCGCCGCTACATAATCGTGACGGAATCGCGCGACCTAGGGCCTACGATTAAACTCTATCATTGACTTGGAGTGTCTGTTCGCACTTCCACGGCTTCGCATCTGCACGGAATTGACAAGGCTGATAGCCGCGCTCGAGGACCCGCGAAGAATCTTTCAGGCCGGCGGGATCACCGGATACACACAGCGGACGCACCCATCAAACATCTCCCTCGCTCCAGCCACACGAGGCGCGCGAGCACTCATGTCGAACCGCAAGCGGCGCGCGCCGGGTGCTTCACCACAGGCTCCCACTCAGGCGTACCAGCACGACATCCCCGCGACCGACTCATACATGAACTGGAACGACCCCACTGCCGGCGCAGACATGAACTTCACCGACCCGCCGCTGTACGACTACAACGGCCAGAGCATGGGCGGGGGCCACAGCCGCGTCGTGTCGCTAGACGGATACAACGACGGCGCGGAGATGGCGGGGCAATTGGTACGGCGAAACACAAACCAGCAACTTGCACCTGCGCCACGGCGGAATCAATGGGATGGATTTGCCAGTCCGACGCAACAGTGGGAGACGGTGGATGACGATGAGGAGCTGGAGCAGAAGGCGGCTATTGCCAAGAAGGATGCACAGGCGAAGCGGAAACAGATCCCGCCGTTTGTGCAGAAGTTGAGCAGGTGAGTATCTTTGCAGACTGTACTGGAACAGTGACTGACGTTGACAGTTTCCTCGATAACAACAAGAACGAAAACCTCATTCGCTGGTCGGACGACGGCAACTCCTTCATCGTGCTCGACGAAGACGAATTTGCGAGGACCCTGATACCCGAGCTCTTCAAGCACAACAACTACGCGTCCTTCGTACGACAACTGAACATGTACGGCTTCCACAAGAAGGTCGGACTCTCGGACAATTCGATGAAAGCCAGCGAGACAAAAGCGAAAGCACCTAGCGAGTACTACAACAAGTACTTCAAGCGCGGTCGACAAGAGTTGTTATGGCTGATCCAGAAGCCGAAGAATCCTGTTACCGGACCAAAGCGGAAACGAGATGAAGAGAACAAGGGCGATAGCGACGAAGACCGCAAGTACATTCAAGATACAGGGGGCGGAGGCTATGTTGAGGAAGTAGCCGTCAGAGGAAACGAGCAGATGGCCATGATCCCACGATCCGAGTACAACAGTCTGCGGGTTGAAGTCAGGGAACTCCAGCAACAACAAAAGCTCATCTCCAACGTCCTTACCCAGATCAAACGCCAGAATGAGGAGTTGTATTCACGAGCGACGTCCTTCCAAGCGCTGCACGACCGCCACGAGAACTCTATCAATGCCATTTTGACATTCCTCGCCACCTTCTATAATAGGAGCCTAGAGGGTAACGCGAATATGAATCTGGCAGATATGTTCCCCGCGGCACGACAACAACATCACGGCAATGTCGTGGACGTCGACGACTATCCCATGCAGGAAGCACAAAAGTCGCCGCAATTGCAGAGGAACAAGAAACCGCTTGCAATTCTACCAGCGCCAGCTCCGACCCAGGACTACCTCGCTCCAACGACGACAGGCCGCGCTACGACCATGAGCCCAACAGCCCGGCCACTCGCTAGCCCCATCACACGGCCTGGCAGTCGACAATCAGTGTTCAGGCCCTCTGTATCAATGAATCGCCAGCAGTCCCAGTCGTCACCATTTTCCCAACAAGCCAGAGACAGCATAACCCCCTCCCAAGTCAAACCCGACCCCGCCTCCAACCTAGGCCCACTAGCCGACAACTCCGCCATCATGTCGGCCATCCAAAACGCCAACGCCAACGCCACAGCAACCAACCACTCCGGCACTTCGCAACCCCCACCTTCAGACTTCGACTACGCCGCCGCTTTATCAAATTACCAAACTCAAGACGGTCACGTCCCTCTCACCCCACAACAACGCAACGATGTCCTCTCCCAGATCGTAAACAACACGTCCGCTCAAAACACAAACAACGCGCTTACCAACCCGCATCCGCCTGAAATGGACCGCTTGCTGGGTGATCTAGCGCAGTACCAAGCGACGCAGCAACAACTAGAAATGCTACAAAAGTTATCCGACCAGCAAAACAGCAAGATCCAACACATCCACGAGCGTATCCTGCCGCTATCCCCCACAGGCCAGATCTCTGGACTGGGCGAGGGCAACGACGGGTATTTCGGTAGCGCAACCGGCGACGACGGCGGCCTCGGCGAACCCGGTGGTTTCGACCTCAACATGGGCCACTTTGTCAACGACGACGATTTCTTCACCGCAGACGCGAATCCCCCCGATCAAAAAGCTACAAACGGGATTAACGGCATCAACACCAATACCAACGGTGGTGGTCTACCTGATTTCACATTCGATGCCAGTACGCCGTTTGATGTTGATCCCGCGAACGGCGATGCTGGCTTTGATTTTGCGGATGAAGCGAATGGGATTGGTGGAGAGGATCCTGGGTTGCTCGGTGTGGATGATGCGACGGGTGCGAATGGGAATGGGAATGTGAATGGCGTGGGTAAGATTGAGAGTACGGCTAGTGGAGGGAGTAGTAATAGTACTAGTCCTGCGGCGACGGTGGAGGAGGTGGAGGATGAGACGAGGAGGGGAACGGGAGGTGGGGGCGGGAGTGCGAAGAGGAGGAGAAGGTAAACGGGTGAATAGGAGAGATTGTACAAAGGCAAATGGGAGCAGAGACGGGATGGGATGGGATGTTGTATTTGATTGTGGAGGATTACGACAGTCACGACTGGATCGAGTGTTTTATCAGCCACGCGTCTTTTTCGCTGGCATTTTTCTTACGGCTGTGTTCTTCGTTGCATGTATGCACATGTCGTGCTTTCTTTTTCTTTGCTCTTCTATTCGTAGTGTGAGGAAGGAATGTTAGATACCCCACTTCTTCACATGTTCGCGTTTGCTGGTGTTGTTGGAGATGTGGTGATTTACTGAGAGGTGTTTCCAAGTCCTACCTCGATTCCTTACTGAATTCGATCGGGATGTAGAGATTATTCGATATCATGTGTGCCCGACTATATAGGTGAAGACTGGCTGTTGCCCAGCAGGTCGTGCACCGCCGTAGCTCTATGCCTAGTCCACTCGAGATCGAGCCATTCCTGCTGTCCCAGTCTTTCAAACAGATTCATGACCTTCTCGCTGGGTCTCCAGTCGCCAACCTGCCACTGCACCACCGGTGGTCTTGGTGCCGCAGCAGCAGCATCGCCGTCTGTCCGCTCTTTACCACCACGCCCAGCAATGAACTTGACACCCCATCTATGCCCCTTCTTCATCCTTAGACCATACTCCTCCACTTCTCTTTCGTCCGAGGGGTGCCACCACAGGTGCGTAAACACCTCCCCATCCTCGAGATCCGGCATATTGTCGCGAGTCAGCGTCTTTGCAAACGCCGCAAGCAGCGGCTCGATGCGCTCTCTACAGGGCTGGACGCGGAACATGTCTACATCGTATTCGGGCCCATCAGTGACTTCGTAGTCATACTGCGCACGGAGGTCTCCGCACTCATTTGGATCGATCTCGCGGGGGTAGTGTTCGGTGTCTGAGATTTTGTATCCTCCTTGTTCAGAGTCGTGGGGGTCCTCGCCTCGGGGACCGATGAAGTACCACCGTCCGTCTGGACGCAAGGGATGGAATTCGAGTCTGAAGCGCCGCATTTGTGACCATTGCTGCGGGGTTGGTGCGTCGGGAATGGGGAAGAGGTCGGGAGTCACCATGGCACGGATGTCGAATATGCTTAGTTGTGTACCGAGGTTGCGCAGGCCGATGGACACTGGGTCTTTGTCTGCGGGGTGGATCAGGTTGGGCCGGGCTATGGATTGGTCGTGCTTGGGGAGTGAGAAGAACGGCCAGAAATGCAGTGCGGCTCTGGTCAGGCTGGCGGGGATCCTCTTGCCGCAGAGGTGCTTCTCCTGGTCTATGATGGCAGCGCCGAACTCGTGACGAGCGTCTCGTAAGGGACCTTCCCACGGCCAGGTCCAGTGCTCGCGCATCACCTTGCTCGAAAGGGCGGAGGGCATGGATCTTTCCCATAGCCAGCGGGCGATCCATTCTTGCACTGCTGGCAGGTGAACGAGGCATTGCAGTGGTCCGAGGGGAGATAGAGGGCGTATGTCTCTCGCGGTGTCGGCGTCGGAACCGCAACTTGATCTGATGGATAGGCTGCTTATGAAGGGTAGATCGGGTAGTTTTTCCGGGTTGTGCAGCTGTAGGCGGCGCGAGTGGTGTCTGTGGTGGTAGCATACGAGATATTCCAGGTCGTCTGTGTCGTACTTTTGTGTCTCGATTTCGATGTTAAGGGCGATGCTGGTGGGCGGGTTCTTGACTAACGCATATGCGGCGGCGCTTTGCGAGTAAAGGGCATGGATGCGTGCTGACACGTGGGCGCTGATGGGGAGGGTCTCCTCTGCAGGTTCATGGCATGGCAGTGGTGGGTCTGCTTGTTCATCGACGAGGATGAGCGGTAGTGGGAGCCAGTATTGTAAACACCCGTACTTTTCGTTGAAGGCTGCTTTGACTTGTTCGAAGAGTTCACTTTCGAAATTGGGGTCGGTCTCCCGCAGCGGCATATTGGTTCATGACTTACCATGCTACTACAACGTTGCGTGATAGGCTCTGCGGAGGCCCCGCCTCTAGTCTCTCCCAAAGTTGTTAGGAACGCAGGCGCACGTGGGCCGCTCCGCACTGCCCTTGATCTCACACGTCGCTGCACTCGCCTTTGTCGTGACTTCCAAAGTTACGTTCCTCCTGCGGCACACTGTGCATGACTCGGTCGCCCGTTCGCGTGTCCGGCCCGTTCAGACGAGTAGCCGTCAGTACCGCGGTCGCTCATAGTAGGCCAGACGGGTAGCCGTGATGACGGGAGCGGTGACGGGAATAGTGACGGGAGTGCGAAGATATAGATAGCAACATGGCTGTTCGGGGCCGGCATCGCACACCATGAGCGCGACACTCGCACCCCCCAGCGTCGACGTCGGCGCCCTGTCGCCCGCGCCTGCATCCGCCAAGTCACGTGCCTCCTCAGCTGCGAAGAAGCAGACCCCAATCGCCCTGGTCTCTCTGCTATCCGGTGCCGTCGCGGGCGGCGTCGAAGCCACAGCAACCTATCCCTTTGAGTTTGCCAAGACGCGCGCCCAACTGCAGGCCGGCAGCGGTGGCTCCAAGAACCCCTTCGCCGTGGTCGCTCACGTCGCCCGCACCCATGGCATCGGCGCCATCTACACAGGCTGCTCCACGCTGATAGTGGGCACCGCCTTCAAAGCCGGCGTGCGCTTCCTCTCCTTCGACTCTATTCGCAACCGCCTCGCCGACGAGCAGGGCGTGCTGTCTCCCGCGCGCGGCGTGCTGGCCGGAATGCTGGCCGGCAGCGTCGAGAGCATCGTCGCTGTCACGCCTACGGAGCGCGTCAAGACGGCCCTGATCGACAACGCGAAGAGCACCAGTGCCGCGCGCTATCGCGGGGGTCTCCACGCCACCCAGATGATCCTCCACACCCACGGCCTACCTGGCCTGTATCGCGGGCTCGTGTCCACTACCATGAAGCAGTCGGCCACCTCTGCCGTCCGCATGGGCTCCTACAACGTCTTGAAGGATGTCGCGCGCCAAAAGAACTTGCCGCAGAATAGCTTCGTCACGTTCGGGCTGGGTGCCATAGCCGGCACCGTTACTGTCTATGCCACACAGCCATTCGATACTATCAAGACGCGCGCCCAGAGCGCACAAGGCGCGAGTACAATGGAGGCCTTTTGGAGCGTTATGCAACACGCTGGTGTTCGCGGTTTCTGGAGTGGAAGCACGATGCGACTGGGTCGATTGGTCTTCAGTGGCGGCATAGTCTTTACTGTATATGAGAAGCTCGCAGCTCTTATGACTCCGTCATCGTTATAGAGATCGGGTGTTTTTAGTGGCGTTGATTGATATCCTCATGAATTTGGCTTGACTCCGTGTCGTCAAGTATTACGATAAATTACTATTACTGCCATCATTGTCTCTATCAAACCGCGTGCCACTGAACCCTAGCCGAAGACTACATGTGACATTATAATCAATCAACTGTGTATAGACGCGCTATGCTGCATAGCTCTAATGGCTTTCAAGAGAGTACATATTTGCGCTGTGTTGTATTGTGATGGTAGATCAAAGTAATCCTGACTGTGCACCATCCGACGTGCTAAGGTGGGGCAGTTTGGGCGCCTTATCTGATCCGACAACCGACGGGCTGGTACAACGTCGTTCATCGCACGTGGTCAACGGCGCATCTTCTGCTCTGCAATCTCCCGCGGCAATGTCATGCGAGGGCGACCTCACGAAAATCGCAGTCTACAGTCCAGCCGCGGGACGGCATGGGCTACACATCCCGCGGCAACGCATGCGGCTTCGACTTACCCGCGGGAAGGAACCTTGGAAGGGCTCGCTTCGAGGCATGGCGTGTCAACAACGCTCCGAGATCCTTCGCGTACCGGCGTCCCCTCGCTCTAGCTTCTTGGAACCAGCCTTAGTTGCCAAACGGGGACTGACAGTGGCGCATATCCACTGCCATGGTTCGCCGTTTCCTGGGGCCCCGCATTCCCCAGGCCTGCTCGCATTCTTAGCCTCCTCTCTAGACCCTTGGTATGCTTGCTAGACGCCTTTGGCAACTGAATCCGTGAGATAGCCCGCGGCCAATCCTGCAAAGGCTTTTTAAATGGCAAATTATCTATATAACGACGAGGTTGGTGTCGTGATGATGTATTACCCATTCACAGCTCGGTCATCGGCACACTCGACACAGCAACATGACGAACACCGAAGAGAAGATGACGAGCATCGACGAGAAGATGGCAGGTGCTGAGTTCAAGGAGGTAGCTCCAGAATCTGGACCCATCACACCGCAGCAGATTCAGGCTCGCTTCGAAACATTGAGAGATTTGAGCCAGGAAGAAATGGATGCGTTGAACAAGAGACTTGTCAAGCGACTTGATTGGAGACTCATGCCATGCATCACACTCATGTTTCTCATGAAGTAAGATTTTCGAAGCGTACTCTTGCATCGTTGTGCTTACCAGACCTAGCTATCTCGATCGCATCAATGTGTCGAACGCACGCCTGGCTGGGCTACAAAAGGACTTGCACATGAGCGACACTATTTGGAATACGGGTATAGTATGTTCTTTCCGCTATCACAATCCTACCTCTACACATGATGTTTTCGAGAGCTTGTGCTGACCTTGTACCTCCAGTCAACCTTCTACGTCGGCTATCTCGTTGGCCAACTTCCCGGTAACCTGTGGCTCGCAAAGGCCGACCCAAGATGGCTTTTGCCGTCCATGATGATGGCATGGAGTACTGCCACCATCTGCATGCCGGCAATGACCAGCGGAGCTGGCTTCGCCGTGTGTCGCTTCTTCATCGGCTTGTCCGAGGCGCCTTTCTTCCCCGGTATCACGCTGAGTATGTTCTCGTGCATCAGGCCCATATCCGACGAGCTAGAACTGACACGAAACAGTGACATCTTCCTGGTACACCAAAGAGGAAAATCCCATGCGCATGGCTATCTGGCATGCCGGAAATACTATGTCGAATATCTTGTCTGGGTTCTTGGCTGCCGGTATCTTGACAAACATGGACGAGGTTCTCGGACTCCATGCATGGCAATGGTTCTT